TTGCAATCATCATTACCCTACCGAAGTAATCATTGATTGATTCTCCTTGCTTCATGGCAAGGATATCAAACTCTCTGCGCAATCGATTGAGTTGGGATCGCTGAACTCGAACATTGCCCTGGTATTTCATCTTCATTGAATCCCAGATTTGTTTCGATGTTTCCTTATTTGGGATTGTCTTCAGAATTGACTTGTCAAGAGATTGAAACAAGTAATTCTTGGCTTTCAGTTCCTTCAACTGCATCTCTTCCGTCGTCACTCACGGTGGCATACGGTGAGAACAATGGTGGAAGAGGACGAGGCAGCCGCAGAGCTTTCAGAGGAGGAAGGGGCAGAGGAGGCAGAGGCCGGCAACCCTATAGCAAGGCAACCATTGAATGTTATAAGTGCCATCAGTTGGGTCACTTTCAGTATGAGTGTCCAAATATGGCTAAGCAAGCAAATTACACTGAAATTGAAGAAATTGAGGAGATGTTGCACATGGCTTATCATGAATCGTTTGGGCAAAGCAAAACTGATGTGTGGTTTCTAGATTCAGGATGCAGTAATCACATGTGTGGAGACCCGTCATTATTTAATCGGTTGGAAGATGGATTTCAAAGAACAGTGCGGCTAGGGAATCATATGCAGTTAAATGTGGTTGGTAAAGGTACTGTCAGGCTATACTTTGGAGGCAATAGCTATCTTGTTCAGGATGTCTTCTATGTTCCAGAACTAAGGAATAATCTTCTTAGCCTTGGACAGCTGCAAGAAAAAGGATTAACAGTGGTGATGAAGGATAGTAAATGCTGCATTTATCACTCAACAAAGGGCCTCATCCTTCAGAGCAACATGACCTCCAACCATATGTTCGTTGTGCTCTCTGATAAGTATTTTGACAAGGACACAAAAGAAGTTTGTCTGCAGTCCATAACCCAAGATTCGGTACAGCTTTGGCATCAAAGGTTTGGCCATCTCGGTTACACAGGATTGCGCATGTTGAAGGACAAAGAGATGGTGAAAGGGATGCCGTGTCTTCTTGGACCTGATTCCATTTGCACAGATTGTCTGAAAGGAAAACAACATAGAGAAAATATTCCAAAAAAAAGCATATGGCGTGCTTCAACTAAGTTGGAATTAATCCATGCCGACATCTGCAGACCCGTCTCACCAGCTTCAAATGGCTAAAAGAGGTATTTGCTTTGTTTCATTGATGACTTTAGTAGGAAAGCATGGGTCTATTTCCTTGCTTATAAAGCTGATGCATTTGCTGCCTTTAAGCAATTTAAGAGTAGTGTTGAAAAAGAGTCTAGTCTGTCTATTAAGTGCTTAAGAACAGACCGGGGAGGAGAATTTACATCAAGTGCTTTCAATGATTATTGTAAAGATAATGGAATCAAGAGACAACTAACCACATCTTACACGCCGCAACAAAACGGAGTAGCTGAGAGGAAGAACATAACAGTGATGAACATGGTAAGAAGTATGATGGTTGATATTCCTAAGAGTTTTTGGCCTGAAGCTGCGAGTTGGGTGTTCTACGTGCTTAACAGAAGTCCAACTTCTTCTGTGAAGGACATGACACCAATAGAAGCTTGGAGTGGGATAAAGCCATCTGTAGAACATTTTAGGGTGTTTGGTTGTATAGGACATGTACATGTGCCTGACGCCAAACGCACTAAACTAGAGAATAAGAGCAGAAGTTGTGTACTGTTTGGGGTTAGTTCAGAATTAAAAGGCTACAGACTATTCGATCCCATAAGCAAGAAAGTCATTGTTAGTCGGGATGTTATGTTTGAAGAAGAGAAAAAGTGGAGCTGGGATAAGAGTTATGACAGCTTGATAAGCCTTGATCTAGACTGGGGAGATGACATAAATGAAGGAGAAATTGAGACTCAAGATGTTACCAATGAAGATTCTGATGTTATTATAGAAACTGTCACTGAAGAAGATAAAGCAAGCATAGATGAAGAGGGAAGTGATAGAGAAAACACTATGGCAGCGGCTGCGTCATCTCTTGAAGCCACAAATACAAGGGAAGGAGATTGTGTCAGAAGGACAGGTCGTATCAGAAGGAGACCAGTGTGGATGACAGACTATAACGTCAATGATGAAGCTGAAACTGCTGAAGCAAGTCAAGATCACACCTCACATTTAGCCTTATTCATAGAATGTGATCCTATTAGCTATGAAGAAGCTGCTAAGAGCCAAGAATGGAGAAATGCTATGAATTCAGAAATACAATCCATTGAGAAGAATGAAACATGGTTTCTCACTAATCTACCGGAGGGAGCCAAAAGTATAGGAGTAAAATGGGTTTATAAGACTAAATTGAATCAATATGGAGAAGTTGAAAAGTACAAAGCTCGGCTAGTTGCAAAAGGATATGCACAAGAACACGGAGTTGATTATGAGGAAGTATATGCACCAGTCGCTCAGATGGATACCGTGAGGATGATTTTAGCATTGGCAGCTAAGAAAAGTTGGATAATCTATCAGCTAGATGTAAAGTCAGCTTTCTTGCAAGGAGAACTCTCCGAAGAAGTGTACGTAGACCAGCCAAGAGGGTATGAAATCAAGGGTGCTGAAAGAAAAGTGTACAAGCTTCGTAAGGCCCTATATGGATTGAAGCAGGCACCAAGTGCATGGTTCAGCAGGATAGATACTTACTTTCAGAAGATGGGATTTATAAAGGATGTCAGCGAGCAAACACTCTTCACGAAATTCAACAAACAAGGTAAATACCTAATTATTAGCTTGTATGTTGATGATTTGATATACACTGGTAATGATCAAACTATGATGAATGAGTTTAAAGAATCCATGATGAAAGAATTTGAAATGAATGATTTGGGAAGAATGAAATACTTCTTGGGAATTGAGGTGTTGCAGCTTGATAATGGAATTTTCATGTGTCAAAGAAAGTATGTGAAAGAGTTACTAACAAAATTCAGAATGGAGGAAAACAACTCTGTCTTAAATCCTATTGTCCCGGGGTTTAAGATTCACAAAGATGAAGAAGGTGTGAAGGTAAATATCACACTCTATAAGCAGCTTGTGGGAAGTATGATGTATGTGACAGCCACTCGGCCAGATGTAATGTATGCTGTTAGTCTGATTAACAGATACATGTCTATGCCAACTGAACTTCACTTTGCAGCAGCCAAAAGAATTTTAAGGTATTTGCAAGGGACTATTGAATATGGGCTCTTTTACAGGAAAGAAGGAAACAGAGAGCTAGTAGGATTCACCGACAGTGATTACGCTGGATGTGTGGAGGACATAAAAAGTACATCCGGGTATACCTTCATTCTCAGTGATGCAGCAGTGGCATGGTCCTCCAAGAAACAACCAATTGTTACTCTAAGTACAACCGAAGCAGAATTTGTGGCAGCAGCAGCTTGCTCTTGTCAGTTAATATGGATGAAAAGAGTGTTGGGCAAAATTGGCTATGAAGGAAGCAGCAACCCTGTTATTTTCTGTGATAACAACTCAACAATCAAGCTATCAAAAAATCCGGTGATGCATGGAAAAAGCAAACACATCGATGTAAGGTTCCACTTCCTACGTGAGCTGGTGAATGAAGGAGCTGTTCAGTTAAAATTTTGTAGCACGCATCAGCAGGTTGCATATATATTTACTAAGCCACTCGACACAAGAACCTTCCAGGGACTTAGAAAGAAGCTAGGAGTATGTGATGCACCAAAGTTAAACTGAATTGGACGATTCAGTTTAGGAGGAGATGTTAAGATTAATATTTTGATATTTATTTTTAATTAAATTAAGTATTGCAGCACATTAGAATGTGTCAGCTTATTGTTAGCTATTTTATTGTTTCAGTCAAAGTCAGTACCTAGATTTTAGGAAGGAATAAACTGCTCCACATATAATGGGGCAGTTAGGGAGATCATGTGATATTATGTAAGCCTATTTATTGGCCTTTTCTTATTCAATTAAGTAAGTTTTCCAGCATTTGATTCTAACATAAAATCGCCAAATTTGTTACAAAGATCCAAAAAGGTGTAAAGTTTACTACATCGGCAAATTTACCACAAAAATAAAAAAAAAGTGTAGAACTTACTACAATGGCAAATTTGTCACAAAGATTAAAAAAAAGTGTAGAACTTACTACAACCGCAAAACACTATATGATGCATGTCTACTAACACACTCTACTAACATTATATGATGCATATTTAAAAAAAAAAACAACTAACAAAAATCCCTACAAACCACTAATTTCATATAATTTTTTTTTCCTATTCGTATTTATCGTAAATCATCCATATTTTTTATGGATTTAATTGTCATGTAGTGACAATGTAAAATGTTTTATATTTTCATTCAATAAAAATATACTATCCTGCTATGTTATATAATTAATTTAAAATTTTTAATATAATTTATCATTATTAGTTGATATTTTAAAAAAAATTTTAAAATATCAAATGTATCACCCTTTTTCCATATTTTATTATTTATCATACCATAACTCATGAATATTATTCATCATGATCATGATGATTGTATAATATATTTATTTAAACTTAATTTATAAAAATAATAATAACAATAATACTTTATTTTATATTTTATATTATTTAAAATATTCATTTAAAATTAGTTAATTTATTTTTTTTCAATTAACTTTTTTTTTTTCATTTATCACTGGCACATTAACTATTTGTCACAAATAGAAATTCCAGATTAGAGATTCTTCCAACTCAGCTTTGAAAAATGATTATTCTAAGTTTTCCTGCCAAATATATGTGTTGACTGCCGCCATGGATCGGCGTCACGGCCTGCGTAAGCAGTTGTTTCTCGAAACTCGTTTTGATTCTGTTACTTCAAATAACGAACTGTTTGTCACAAATTCAAACTTCCACGCTGCTTATTAAATTAATCGATTAATCACGGTTACTCGGTTTGGTATTGCGTTGCGTCATACACAAGCTACCATATTCATATATTGAACCATAGAATCGAATCTACAGTAACACCGTTGATTCATATTCGTCGAAATGGCGGAAGAAATTAGGCAAAACGACGTCGCTTCTTCTTCCAAATCTAGAAGCTTCTGGTCTGCACTCCGTTGGATTCCCTCTTCCACCGATCATATCATCGCCGCCGAGAAACGCCTTCTCTCCCTTATCAAGTAATTTCAATTCTTCACCCCTCTTTTACGGTCTAAACCCTAATTTTCTTCAATTCTTCGCTATTACGTTTGTATCATCAATTTCATACACACGGTCTGATTTGGAGCTTCAAATGGATTGTAGTTCTATATGCTTTTGAAGGTGTAATTACAAATATGACTTCTATGATGTAGTATAAGATTTAGGCTATATTTGGATATCAACAACATAACGGAGTGGAGTGGAGCGGAATTAAAATTTCTTTTTATCCCTTGGAAATTTTAGGACGGAATAGGCAAATTCTTCATTCCACCTAAATCGGAGGGAAAGAAATATAGTGGCAAGTGATGGAATGGAATAAAATCCATAAAACTCCATTCCGCTCCGCCCCATCCAATTTTAAATGATCCAAACAATGGAATACCAATCCATTCCATCCCATACGCTATGCTCCATTCGGTTCCATCAATGCAAACAAAGCCTTATAGGGTAAAATGATAAATGAAACCTCTTAAAAGGCAAAAGTATAATGAAATTCACTTGTAGCTTCAAGCTGGACATGCGTTCACTTGAAATCCAATGTCAAAACAAAGATAGGCTTAGTATGGCTTATGAACTTAAGGAGTGTATCAAACATAAAGTTAGAGTCTGTTTGTCTGCAAAAAAAGTACTTATGCTCTGAATGTATTTTGTCAACTTCAAACCCAAACATGTACTAATTTGGCCGTTTTTCATTGTTTGGTAGGACTGGGTATGTTCAAGAGCGTGTTAATATCGGCTCTGGTCCTCCTGGGTCCAAAGTAAGATGGTTCCGTTCATCGAGCAATGAGCCGCGGTTTATCAACACGGTTACTTTTGACAGTAAACCTGATTCTCCTACGCTTGTTATGGTTCATGGATATGCTGCTTCCCAGGGTTTCTTCTTTCGTAATTTTGATGCTCTCGCTTCTCGTTTCAGAATCATTGCTGTTGATCAACTTGGGTGAGTTGTGTTTCTAAATCCTAGTACTTTTTCTGAGCTGTTATATCATATGCTTTATCTGGTCTTATGATCGATTCTGTTGTAGGAGAGGAATGGTCAATTAGATGTATAAGAACACTGTTGAATTTCGGTTTTTCTTTTACTTTATTTGTTTTCAAGATTGGAATATATACTTTATGTTTAAAGGAAACTTAAATGAGTGAGTTTAGGTACTTTACTAATACTACGTATGTTGTTTCAGTCCTTTAAGGGGCTATCAATTTTGAGGGGAGAGGCATTATCAAATTGAGGCATGTTATTTTACTTATAAGCCTTGAAACTTGTATTTTTTGGCAGTTGGGGCGGATCAAGCAGGCCTGATTTCACATGCAAAAGCACTGAAGGTTAGTTAAAAGTTATGCTTACATTGTCACATGAGAGAATGAGCGGCTACAGTTGATTTGGAATTTAAGAATTTTATTTTGTTTCTCAACTTTAAAATTGTTGTTCATCTTGCAGAAACTGAGGCATGGTTCATTGATTCTTTTGAGGAATGGAGAAAAGCCAAAAATCTGAGCAATTTCATACTACTTGGACATTCTTTCGGTGGTTATGTTGCTTCCAAATACGCGCTCAAGGTAAGTTGTCCGTTGCTGCATTGCCTTAAAATGATAAATACTACTGACTCCATAACTTTCTATTACGAATCAATATGATGGATGTATATTTTATTCATTTGAATATAGCACCCTGAGCATGTACAACACTTAATTTTGGTGGGACCAGCTGGGTTTACATCAGAATCAGATGCAAAGACTGATTTTATTGCAAAGTTTCGAGCGACATGGAAGGGAGCAGTTCTGAACCATCTATGGGAATCTAATTTTACACCTCAAAAAATTGTCAGGTAAGACTATTGTGTTTGATTTTTATCATTCTATGATAAGTTAGCTCAATTTTTTTAGTCAGACAATTTATGATGCTTTGTGATGCTTGTGTAAAATTCTATTATTTTATTGATACCTCAGTTTATTGAAACTATAAAGTCTCTTACCATCTCAGGCTTCTGAAAGATTTTTTTGATTATACCATCTGATTATTTAACTGGAATATCTGTCGTGGCAACTAGATGCTCATACTCACCAAATCTTAAAATTTAAAATAACTTGTCTGCGAAGTGAAATGTTGTATTTCATGATAATGTAATGCATTTCGTACAAGTGCAGCTTAATATTGCCCGGCTCCCTTCATTTAATATGTATTTGAATTTTGTTATTACTGAAGTTGACTGGGATATTGATGTTAAGTTCTCTTGATTACTAATGAGTTCTAGTTAATATCTACATGGTAATTTTGTTATCATTGAAGTAGACCGGAATATTGACTTACGTTCTCTTCATTACAAATGGGTTATTATTACTAACTGTAAAGTCATGGATGGAATCCTTTTGGAAAAACCCTCATAGAATGAGACCCTTGGCTTAATTAACTATTGGAAACTTGGAGTTGTCTCCACTTGACCAACAGGTCACAAGTGGTAAACCATCCTGTAAAAGATCCATTGTAGATTTGAGCCTTTGTTGGACTCTGCCTACGCAAGAGCTTAATGTACCATGAACACGATGTCCTATTTTCTTGTATTATGGTTACAGGCTGAAGAAGCTTGTTGCTTGGGTTGCAAATTATTTTCTATTGTTAGTACTCAAATCAAATATGGGATTGTAGATTGTGGGGAGTAGGGGATGGAGTTATTCTTCTACTCCGAGGAAAAAGTGTGCATTCTCTTTATACTGCTACTTCTAATATCGAATTTATAAACCAAGTAATAGGTTTAAATAAATGAGGGAAAGCTAGAAAATATGGAATTAAATATTATTCCCAGCAGCATGGAATCACCAATCCCTCCGGAAGAAGGAATTGTCTGTTTCTGTGGAATGAGCCATGGAGAGGAATCATCATTACATATTTTTTGGCCAACAAGCACGATAATACGATAATACTCATCCCATAGAATAAAGTATAAAATGGAATCACCATTCTGCATACCAATATTAGTTGTATTGTTTTATTGATTTTATTAAGAGTTCTTTTTATGCATTTTTGACAGAGGTTTAGGTCCTTGGGGTCCGAGCATGGTACGAAAATATACAAGTGCTAGGTTTGGTACACATTCAACAGGGCTAAAACTGTTTGAAGAAGAATCAAGTTTGCTAACAGGTATGGCAAGACAGGAAATTGATATATGGTTTAAATGTAACAACTAACAACAGTGTTCTAATTCTAATTTGTTTTTCTATCTATTAAAGATTATGTTTATCATACATTGGCGGCCAAAGCCAGTGGTGAGCTGTGCTTAAAATATATTTTTGCATTTGGAGCATTTGCTAGGATGCCCCTTCGTCACAGGTTTGTCAATCATTCTCTTCCCATCTGATTAGCTGTTTGCTAAGAAAATGTATTCCGATTTCCAATGAATGATTGTCTTCAAGACTTTAATAATCATAGACATCGCAATATTTGCCAACGTCTTGTTATGGTTTGAAAGACGGACTCCCGATTTACCTGATAATTAATAATATTTGTCGACTTCGGGTGTAATCTTTTATCCTACATCACTTTGTTGCAGTGCTCCAGAGTGGAAGGTGCCCACCACATTCATATATGGTTTTGAAGATTGGATGGATTATGAAGGTGCCCAAAAAGCTCGCGCGCAAATGAAAGTTCCATGTGAAATTATCAGGGTCCCTCAGGTATGATTTACACCATTATCCAAAACATGAAATTCCTTTTATTGTTATTAGAATCAACAGAATTAATAACTTGTGTTGCAGGCCGGACATTTTGTGTTCATCGACAACCCTAGTGCCTTCCATTCAGCTGTGTTTCATGCTTGTCGAAGGTTTCTTACACCTGATCCGGACAATGAATCTCTTCCTGAAGGGCTATTCTCTGTATAAGAAATAATTTTGCATCAACCGTGTGTATATTATTTTTTATTATTTTTACAATGAAATTACATAATGGAGTGAAGCGATGTCTTGCTCCTCAGTGAGGTGGAATATACTGAAAATATCTGGAATTGTAATTTAAATGAAATGATTTCTAGGAAAACTTTCAGTAAAGAAACATATTCTCTAGTAAAATTATGGTGCACATGCGACAAACATATGCTGTGAAATGTGAGTGTGTCATTAGTAATAAAAGATCAAATTTTTTTTACCAGAAAGTTATCTTTCCCCATGCAATCATAAAAGATTTTTAAGTGGCCCTCTTACACACTCATAACTCAACCTAACCTTTAACAACAACACACAACTACCCTCCCTCACAGTTGAAAGCATAAAAATAATAACAAAAAATTAAAGAGAGAAAAGTAACATTTGTTTATTATATACACTTTAACAACTTTACCCTTATCTGATACAGGTCAAATTTACTTTTTGATTAACTTTTCAATTTTGCCATTTTTAATCAAACAAGGGACCACATGTAAGTACTAGTTGGTTATTCATTTTCGTATACCCATTAAAGAATCCAAAGTTGAAAGAGTTGTTTATAGTGAATTCACAAAAGCAAACCCCAAAATCTCTTGTTCATTCCTATTCTTCATTTCTATTCATCTTCTATGCTGAATATTGCTCTAAGTCACTCTCTCTCTCCATGTTATCTCATGCAACCAAAGTCCAAACAATTCTTTATTATCAACTGCTTTGTTTGATGAACAACTGTGATTTTCTTGATTAAATTGGTAAGCTTTCACTATAACATTTTAGAACTCTACCAAATCAAATGCAAGTGACAAATCTTTTATAGATGCTTAGTTAAAATTTTCTTTTCTCATTATTTATCTTTTCTTTCGTACTAAAGGTTGTTCTATAGTTGAAACCTTATGGAGCATTAAGACAATAAAGGTTGCATTGTATTTTTAAAACCGAATGTGTTAAATTGCTGATCCCCACTAAAGAAGAAGAATTTATGGAACAAACAATAGGTAGAACTTATATTAAAAAACATAAGTCAACTGTAGCATCACATGGTTTAATCTTTTACTTAATTCATTTATTTGGCTATCTATTTTAACAAATTAACATAAAACAGATTATAATAAAGTTTTGCATGACTAATAAAGGAAATATAGGAGGCTCTAAGGATCCTATTGAAAATTCAAAGCCAGACTTGTTCGTTGAAAAAATTAGGTGGTATCACTTTGAAAATGCTACCCTTTCTGGTTTGGATCTCATACGAATAATTTTTTCATTCCTAAACAATTGCTTATTTTGAGTATGAGTAAAATATTTGTTAGCTTTGTCATGTGAGTATCCATATGAATGTTTTAGGCGTTAGCTTTGTTATGATGATGAGCATATTCTGTTACTAATATAATATTGGTTTACCATGCTATCACATGAAATATGCATTAGAAATTTTGTGTTTGGTTCTTTGGTAGTTGATTTATAGGTTCATTTGTTGATATTCTGGAAATTATTCAAAAGAATCTAACTTAGCAAATGAATTTTGTGAAAACAGTGACTTGTCCAAAGCTGAGGCAGACTTCCAATACTTCCAATACGAGATCCTAGGGTTTGTTCTCATTTATGATTTTCTTTAGGAATACCAACAGATCCCATTGAAAGTCCAAAGACAGACTTGCTCGTCGAAAACATAAGGCAGTATCACTTTGAAAACGCTGTACTTTACTACAAAGGCAGTTTCTAGAGTATTGTTAAATGTGTTCAAGTAGATTCTGTCCTCAATGCAACACGTCCTGCACATTCCAGCTAGCGAAGGGTGATAACACGGTGTTTGTCAATGTTCAATTCTATCCCGATGTTGACTACTACTACTGTGTCCACCGTATTATCTGAGTGTTTGCTGTGAATAAGTTTTGAAGCTTAAAAAGATCATTTGTTTCCATGGTTTTATCAACTTACTGATAGAGGCATGGTTTGGACCTCATACTACTTATTTTTTCATTCCTAAACAATAGCTCATTTTGAGTATGAGCAAAATATTTGTTAGCTTTGTCATTTTAGAACGTTAGCTTTGTTACGATGATGAGCATATTCTGTTACTGATATAATATTGGTTTACCGTGCTATATCAATTTCCAACTGCATAATCAATAGTTTAAGACAGTTTCTCTTGCAATGAAAGGAAATTTTACAGGATTTATTGATGGTTAAAATATCCGTCCAAAATTGTTGTCACTATACATGAAGTTTGTGGAATCTTTGTGATTAAGCATCAATAAGTCTGCTACATTTACATTTGGTCACCTTGTGAACACAACTTGATGTTAATGTTTTCACTCTGAATGATTTGTACCTAACTTGAATAGCATATCAGCTGGAACACAGGTCGGCACACCCTTATTGCAAGTCTTAAGAACCATCACTCGTATCTTCAGCAAAGCACTACACTGTGCCCTGTGATCTTCAGACACGATTATTTAATCAT